TATTTAAGAGTTTGTTTCAATATGTTTAAAAATATTGATTAATTAACTAGCAAAACTTTCTCGAATAAAATCTCAATAGTTCCCAACATGTTGATTGCATTTTTTTAAATGAAAAAATACGGTTAAATTGTAATTCACATGCTATCATTACATTGATTTTTTTAAGTGACTTATGCTATTTTCAAAATAAACGGCTCATATATCTTTAGTTTCATAATTTCACATTTATTACATCTGTTTATAAAATAAAAATTTCTATCTTGTTTATAAATAATTAATCATCTGTTTTCCATTATTACTGTTTTAAATCAGTTTGTAATTATTATTCATATTACATGTAAATGCCGTTTATGTACGTTAGCTTAAGATATACAAAAGTACATAATAGAATTTGGGGATTATAATTTCAAAAATTTATCAATATTAAAACTTAAAATCTTTTATAAAATTTATAGTTTATCTGGAAAAAAACATCTCGATGCATACTTCAAAAATTATGTTACTAACATTATATGCAAAGTTTATATATTCAGCTCAATGAGTATAACTTTTAAAGAAAAAAAAGATTTATTGTAATAATTTAATACAAAAATTATATATTTTGATATTTAGAACTGTTTTTGTTGTTAAAAAAAAAATGTTTAAAATTTCAAAAAACAAGAATTAAGATAGCGCACGAGATGTAAAAATATTATCTAAGAACGAAGATAAATCGCAAAGCGAATGGCGTTGATTTGGCGCGAATATTTCGGAAGAATGTAATCTTGAAAACCGGTTTTTTCATCCAAATATTGTTGTTGTCAGCCAAAAGTCATGTGATTGTTTTCTACTGTATTCGTTCTCAGGGATTAAAGAATAAATGCTTTTAAGATGTGATTAACTTAAAATATATCTTTAAACCTACAATTTATATAATACATGATACTTTTTAATAATTTTCTGTGCATTTGCATTGATTTAAATTCCAGAACATGTTGGAACTACTTTTTCAAGAGGATTGTTACATTCCCTACCTTTCCCAACGCTGCCAACTTGAGGTGAAACAGAGTATAGATAGACGCTACCGGTTTTGCGGAAATCGACCCTCAATGGAGGATACTGGAAGTCATGGAAAAAAATTCCCGTTTTTGAGATTTCAGACCTAGAGACTTTAAATATGGCAAACGTGTTTCTTTTGTTGAATGCGGTAATCGACTCCCAGAGGGGATCGCGAGGAGTTACAGGAACGTTGTAGGGGTAAAAAAAATCCCCTTTTTACAAAATAGAATTTTTAGATGAGTGAGATGTGAAAAATTATTATTCTTTGAAGTTAATTAATTACACCATCAATATTATAATTTAGTTTTATTTGGATTAAAGAGCAAGATAAGATTTTTCCAGTTGCGGTAAAAACAGCAAAAAATTTTAAGCATTGTCCATATCTTTTTTTATGACTATAAATAAAGGTTAGTAAAATTATTGTCATTGTGTTTGAAAATGATATTTTGCTACTGTTCTTTAATAAGTAGGAAAAAAGAATTTTTTTTATGGTCATATAAGTAATAAGTTAGCCTGAATCATAATTTTTATTTATGTGTCAATATTCATTTTAAGTTCTTTTAAAAATTATTTCATCGAAATACTTTTTCCTTCTGTTTGCGTCAAAAGTAAAAAAAACTGGCGTGCATTCATGAGGATGAAACAGAAAAAACACTATTGTAAACCTGCTGCACGATCTTTGAAAAGAGTTCTCAAAACAAGATATAACTGTGTGGGACTTCATTATGTGTAGCAGCTGTCGCAAAATAATGAGAAATAAAAGCATAAATTACTTTTTATTTCATATTATATAACAGAACATTTTCTACGTATTTTAAAGTGTTGTAGCTTCAGCTTCCGTTTAATATTCAGCATGCCTTTTTTAAAAAAATGTGTTGAAATATACTTAAAGAAATCCATCCGTAAAAACTATTTATTTATTACATATCTACTAAAAACTTTGAGGTTTCCCTCAAAGTTATAACTGCTATCAAAATTTGTACATGAATACGTAAAGGTGTGTGTGTTGCCACAAACTTTCCCTAATTTTATCGAACAAATTTTTTACGAAATATATTGAATGTTAAAAAATATTGTTTTTCAAAAATTGATATATCAATTTTTTCTGCTACCTCTCAACTGTTAAGGTCACGAGTTCGAATCCTGATTGCATTATAGGAGGCGGTTAGATGTATGTTAAATTTAATTATGCTTGTGAAATACCTCGTGGAGTAGAAGATGAATGACATATCAGTTAAAGCGTCAAAAAATGTCTCCTCAGTCAGTGCCAGTTTATCTATTGGGCGCTTGGAGTGGGCGCCCAGGGGCCCAGGAGGTCCTTAAAGGACCCGAATACGCTGAAATTAGCCAGTTTTCTAGTAATAAATTTCGATCAGCCAGTGCGAAGGGAGCCGGAAGATCTTCTGCACCCAGGGCCCGAAATGAGCTTAAATCGGCACTGACCTCACAATGTTTCTTCCGTTATTATTGCCCTAAGACAGCGTTTCTCACACTGTGGGGCACCCATTCCTAGGGGTCGAGGATGATAATCCTACTTGGGAGGTGCGAGTATATTGAAAATCGCAAATAAAAGATTTAAAACAATTATCAATTTACTGAAAGGAAGCAAAACAAAATTCATCCTGACATATAATAACAAATAAAATATTCATTCACATTGATATACAATATATATATATATATATATATATATATATATATATATATATATATACTTACTGATATAATATACTTATCTGTACTGCACAAAGCATTTGTGATAACTAATTTATCACTACTCAACTAAAAACAAGTTAAGTAATTACTAGTGATTCCCATGGGCTTGTCATATACAAAATTATATACAAAATTTAATACTTTTCTTGATCATTTGTACGGTTTATAATTAAAGTCGTATAGTAGTTTTCTAGCCAAAGTACTTTATTATTGCATTCAATACATTGTTGTTGTAAAAAGGGGGTCGATAGGAAAATTATGACTAAAAATTGGGTAGCAAATATTGAAAGTTTGAGAAGTACTGCCCTAAGATTAGATACAATTCTTTGATATGTATATATTAGTTTTCTTTTTGTTTTCAGGTAATGGTTCAGTCACTGATTTACATACTGGTTAAATAAACTTTTATTCAAATCGGTCATTTTCTTAAAATACCTCTAGATATTTGGCTCGTATTATGAAAATTATATATGTTCAAAAAGAATTTAAAAAACAAAACAAAGCAAATAAAATAAAAACACCAAGAGATTTGCGATGCATTTCCTTATGCATACAATTAAACACATAACTTTTCTTTTTCTTTCCCTAAGAATAAACCACTATTACAAAATTGCTTCACCCCATATACTTCGCCCACTCAAATGATGTTTATAAACACACCCAACACTGTCTCCAGAATTCTAGTTCCCTATATTTCATTAAACTGATTTACTAACATACACCTAACAACCTGCAATAGAATTTCCTGTTTCGGACGTACATCAGATATACCCCCATCCTATTAATACTATTATTAAACGCATTTTTACCAATCTATGGGCGTTCACCTTTCATAGTAAAGGTTATAAGTTCACATTAAGGGTGAAATTAAACAGCGAGATGTTCTTATGGCAAAATTGCAGAAAACTGGACTGAAAGCGCCTACTTTTTGATTTAAGGGGAAATTAGATCGAAATAATATAAAATTAAAAGGTCATGACCTTTGCTTTCTTGAGGCTCCGAATTATAAGGTGCTGATGCACCTTGGTGATTAAAAGTGCTTCAGAACAATGTGGAGAGAGGTGACGGTGTTTTTTAAAAGATGAATGGAAACTGCGTGGTTGGATGTTTCTGAAATATATTGTGCTTTGTACAATAACGATTGTCGGACCATATAAGGATGATTTCTCTGTAAAATGTTGTGTAGGATGTAGAGAATGAAGTGAAAAATTCTTTTATAGTGTTAATTTGTCATTATAACGTAAAAACTGATTCCAGGCTTTTAAAACGATGAAGCGAAAGCTTTTTCACAATTCCTACTATTAGCTCACAATCTCTATATGTTTATTTATTTATATATTTATTTATCTTGGTGGAATTTTCAATCGTTAATAAAATACATTTTAAAGCGCTCCATTGAGCTGAAATTTTATATACAGGATTATTTTGGATGACAGTACAATAATATAATAATAATTAATAAAAATTAATTGATTAAAACTAATTATTTAAAGAATTACAAATACACACAACCACGTTGGCATCCTTTTTGGCGACTTGTGTCAAAACTTGAAAAGGTTTTTTTCTCGCGTTTCAAAGCATTCAGTTGAACTGAAATTTATATACACGATTGTTTTGGATGACAATACGATACTTAAATGATAATTAATAAAAATTAATGACCACTTAGTGTTTTGATTCTGTCCTATGTATATACATATTTATATTAATTGTAACTATTTAATAAAAAGTAGCTATAATAAAATTTTTCTTTGTTGATCTAAGTAGGAATTGACTTTAAATTTTTTTTTTATATTACTTGTTTTCAGTTTCTTTGTAGAAGTAATTAATGGAAAGCTTTGAATTAAAATTTATAAAAAATCTCAGATATCTAATATTACGAATGCTGAAAATCTCTTATATTTGTGATTTTAAATTGCTTTTTTTCTGAATAATTATTATAGTATCGTAGACAGACTGTGTGTGCGGGATCCTTTCTGATTGGTTATTTGTTAACACGTTCCCCTCTGAAGGAACTCGAAAGCTATTGACAATTACCCAAGAAGTATAAAAACTCTCTTTTTAAATAGTCCCTCGGGAATAAGCTAATATTTATAGTTACACGAGAAATTTAAAAAAGAATTTATATAACAGAAAACACACTTATATTTACATGGATTATATTTATTAAATACAGCAAAACAGGACAGAATCAGCAGTAGTAAATAGATGCCCAACATAAAGCAAAATACAACATTAAAAAAACAGTTTTATAGCCGCTCAGCCAATATGGTGGATATGACCCTCAGCTTTTAACGGAGTGGGCTCGGGTTCGAATCCCGAATAAGACATGAATGTAATTTCTTCGGGAAAAGAAGCCGGACTCTTTCACCTGTAATGGATTTCCGTCTCGAATGGAAAGCAGCGCACCCCTTCTGTTCTATGCTGGGATCATCATTTGTTATAAATGTCTATATTCTTCTGTTTGTATTGGATGCTTTCTGTTCTTCCATTTATATTTCATATGTATCCCAGGTTAAAAAAACACACAGCAACAACAGTTTTACAGCTTATTGGATAATACATAACTACCATTAAAACTCTTTAAAATGTATGTTTTTTGGGAAAACCATGGGGGATGTTCTTTTTGTATAGTTATATTTTCTTTTTTTTAAATTTTTATTTTTTGAATGCTTTTGTCAATATTGGTTTACCTACATTTATAAGTCTGATTCGATAAGTGTTCAAAACGGTTCGAGACTTTTTTTCGAAAGTTTGTATTTTTTAGATAATAAACGAATTTGTTTCCACAAACCCAAAGATATTTTCCCATTATGTTTAACAAAAGAACTGTGGAGGAATTAGAATTATATTACAATAAATAACAAAAAAAATCGAAAACTCATCTTTTATTCAATGAATCCAAAATGTTCCATTCAACATCAAATTTCTCATTAGTTTTTCTTTAAAACTATTTATATAAGTACGCAATAAAATCTCCAAAACCCATGTTCATTGCTGGTCACAAAGACAAAAGAATATACAAAGATTTAAATACAAAAGTACTCGAATAAAAGTAATGAAATATTTTGAAGAAATTTTAACTTGGAAATATTTTCTGATATTTTCCATGTTAAGATTCATTAAGGAGTTATATAGCAATATTTGTATATAAACTATTGTTATTTCATATACTTCCTCTTCAGTTACACCACTAACGGCCACGGTTGCTTAGTGACACAAGAATTTTTCAAGGAGAGGGGGGTGCAGTGTTGAAAGTCCACCATTCTTGTGTGTGTACCGCCAAACATATTCTTTTGATTTAATCGATTGTCAGCAAAGAAAAGTAAAAAATAAATTACTGAATAAATAACTAGCATTAATTAATAAAATAAATTACTAATAACAAACACAAAATTAAATTTTATGTAATATATGCACATAGGATTATAATCAATCGAAAAAAAAATTAAGGGCTATGGGTGCACTCCCCTCCATACGTTGACGAACTCGTTGGCGGCTGATGTGCTTTAAATCAGTCGTAATCCAAAATTCCTCTCTTTGGCATAGTGTGAGAGGGATGCCAGCTCAGGCGTCGTTCTCGTCACTTGACCATGATTCAAAATTACGAGGTCTGTTGCCAAAAGACCTCGTGTAGCTGAACAGTGCGACGTTAATATTCACTCAGTCACTTACTGCCATGACTCACTCACTCACTTGCGTGGTGTGGAAGTTAGAAGAGTGAGTGAATATTAACGTCGCACTGTTCAGCTACACGAGAGCTTTTGGTGACGGACCTCGTAGTTATGAACCATGGACGTGACAAGGACGACACCTGAGCTGACATCCCTCCTTTAACTACCACACCACTCCAACGGGAGGACGTTTCAGCTCTCGACAGATTTAATGTGCATCGCTCCCCTATACGGCGGGTGTTTAGTGGTACTGGGCTCGAACTCGTCACAAGCCAGCCACGATCCAATACCTTGACCATTAGGCTACCACGGCCACTAGAAGAGAAGTCCCTGCTCAGGTGATGGCCTCGTTACTTGAACCACAGTTCAAAATTGCGAGGTACATCACTAACAGCTCTCCCGTTTTTTAAGAGAGAGTATGTGTGAGTTTTTTTTAAAAATATAAACACTCATTCATTCAGTCTCCTGAATAATTAAACTCGTACCAAAATTGATAATGCTCTTAATTTGCTGTTATAAGATCTCAACTGTATTACTAAACTGTAACGATATTGTAACTGTATTTTTAACCCTTCTTCGGGCGCAGCTGGACTGAGAGGCCAGCAAAAGCATTTTGTGTCAAATGAGCAGTTTTGGTTGTTTTAGTTTAAGCTTCATTTTGTTCATCAAACTGGTTCTTTTTCATACAATTTGGTGGATTTACTTTCCTTTACCAATGAATTAAAATTAATTAGGGGAGGGGAGGTCAAAACATGTCGGTGGCTTCTCAGGGCGCTCGATTACGCTTTTTTTCAGAGATGCGCCTGATGAAGGGTGAAAGTAAATATTAATCAGTGAGTCATATATTGCTTCTAAAGTCTTACACAAGAACGGCTTTTTTGATACCAGAATATTTAAAACAATAAAAATAACATGGTGTTTATTTTTTCAGTATGCATCAATGAATTTTTTTATTCCTACAAGTCTATTAAAATTTTTATTTCCTTACTTGGTTTTGAAATATGGATCCGAAACAAATTTACAAAGCAAGTGACATCTTTATCTTGAAAGTAACTCGTTAGGGACTGCAGTCACGTTTAAAAATTGAAAGATTATGAGAGTAATTTTCTAAGAAAATAGCTTTTTTTTATTGAGTTCAAATATAAAAGTTTATGAACTATGAAATTGTATTTTTTTATTCTCTTTTATATTTGTATCTCAGAATTTCGTATTCAATGAACGTATTTATTTCATATCTAAAAAAAAGATCCTTTTTCTTAAAAGTGCTGTAAATTTTTCCTTCAAAAATAATCCCTTTTTATTTCAAAAGTTCTTTTTAGTAGATAAAAATTCAAGCGAACTTTAATCATTACTGCATCAAAGAGATACGAAAGGATATCTATATCAATTCTTAAACTCAATAAAGATTTTAATTTACCCAATTTTTTAGTACATTAACTAAACAGCCTTAAAATTTTAATTTGAAAAATCTGGAATAAATTAAAAAAGTTATAACATTACAATTTCTATTGAAAATTTCATAGTGTCTTATATAAAGTTGTTACTTAAAATTATTTTCTTATAAAATAACTTCTTTATAACATAATTAAAATTAATCATAAAATTTTTTATTTTATCCATTTTTTTTAATATTTGTTAAAAATAATGATAATGATGAACTTATTTCAATATACTTTAATGTGGTTGAAAGAGAAGACTTTCAATGGTAGGAAAGGTCCATGCAATAAACAAGCAGGCTTTTTCGAAGTATATATAGATACTTATTCTGGAATTCAGACACACAAATAATTTTTTTTTTATTTAGAGGTAATTAACATTTGTATTTAAATCCTTGATGGCCCCGATTCACACACATATGGAACACAGCAATTCAAATATTCAGTCAAAGTATCGTATGAAGCAAATAAAACAGACTATAAAGGGTCAGACCCAAGACCTTTTTTAAAGGGGTAGAGGGGTTGGGTTCGGACCATGGCAGGATGTCATGAGTTCAGCCCAATACCACTAAAGACCCGCCGTGTAGGGAAAAGGGATGCCGTTAAATCTTCGAGAGCTGAAACCCCCAGGTGTGGGGGGTTAGGAGGGGGTCCCGCTCGGTGTCGTCCACGTCACTTGACCATGGTTAAAAAATTAGTGTCCGTCCCAAAAGCCCTCTTAGCTGAACAGGGGAGTTAATATTCCCAAACTCAAACCCAAGACCATTTTAAATTTGTCAGGGTATCAACTTTGATCGCCAAATATGGCAACTAAATTTTTCCCCAATGTTAGCGTTATTGATAGTGGTATGAATGAATCTGCGGGCACATTACCTGATGATGTGAAGCTATCAACAGAGGTGTTTTTAAAATGAAGTTCTGCAAATAAAATAAAAATGCTCTATGATTGTTATGCATAGAAAAGAACGTATTGTACCATTTTGGAATCTTGACTAAATGGACCAACTTTTTTGAGAAACTTGCCTAGGGTTGTGTGTGAAATAGTTCTCTTTTTGTGGGAAGCCAAAGTTAAGTGACATCTTTTTCTCAAACGGCAACTCACACAAGCTACATAGCCGCGGTAGCCGAGTGGTATAGGTATCGGACCGTGGCTTGCCTTGTCACGAGTTCGAGCCCAGTACTACTAAAGACCCGCCGTGTGGGGGGAGTGATGACGTTAAATCTGCCGAGAGTGAAACCCTTTCCCCTTGGTGTGGTGTAGTAGTTAGGAGGGGTGGGCGTCCAGTCCTTGACCATGGCTCAAAATTACGTGGTCCGTCACCAAAAGCCCTCGTGTAGCTGAACAGTGTGACGTTAATATTCACTCAATCTCACACAAGCTACATTAATTTTAACTAAACCAGCAAATGTTTTTGTCCTACTTTTGACTGCGATTAATAGTACGGCTATGTAAGATGACGTTAGTAGAAAAGTCAGCGAAAATTTGTGGTTATACAGTAGATAATGATTGATGGAGGGTGTCAATATCCCACATTTTCAAAAAATGTTCTCGTCCTCATTTAACCAAGAGCCAGGAAATGTTTTTTAATACTTTTCCCAGAACAGGTATGACCCCCTCTTTTACCTCGTGCCCGATTATCATTCAGTTTCGTAACAGCCTGTATATTCCCTGAGAATTTCATAATGTTGTGTGTCTAAGTAATTCTTTTTAATTTATTTGTATCTAAAACTTAGAGTATTAAGTTTTCGAATATATTAAAAAATATTCTTATAGTCCATGCCTCTTGTTTTGAAAAGCACAGACTTGAATTTCAAAAATGGAAGTAAATTTATCTTTTTACGTCCCCATATAACACCTCCTTGGGAGTCAATTTTTACGGAATCCATTCTTAGTTGATCTTTACTTAAAAAAGGGAATATTCTAGACATAGTAGGTCTAATAGATCATTCTTCAGTGGGTCTAATAAATAAAAAAAGGGAACTTGTTATCTATTACTCCCATGATCCCCCCCTTCTTTGGAAATCGATTCCCATGAAACCCATTTTTAGTGGATCTCTACTTTAAAAAGGAAACATGCTTGCAAAATTTTAAGTTACCAGGTTTAATAGTTCAAAAAACTGGTATTTTCTCATGATCTTTAAATGATTCTGAAACCCGGCCACTTTAAGAATCGATCTCCGCAAAACCCATTCTTAGTGGGTCTTTATTGAATAAAACAA